GGGGCCAGTTTCGGGGCAACTATACTAGGACTAGTAATAGCTGCTCGGAGAAGCTGTTGTTGCTGTTGTTGATCATGTTGTTGCTTCTGCTGCTGTAGTTGTTGCTGTTGTTGGTTGTCTGGCTGCTGTGGTTGAGGGTGTTGCTGCTGCTGTGGACCAAGAAGAGTCTGCTGCTGCTACTGTTGTTCGCCGGACGGCTCCGTCAAGTTTGGTCGGAGGCTGTTTGTGGTTACAACCCCTTCTGGATTCCTCTCCCTGTTAGAGAAATACGATTCCAGCAAGCGTCGAAGCTCCCAGACATCGTCTTTGACCTCACGAACCTCCCTGCTGGTTTCTATGAGCCTATGCTCCAGTTCGTGGACCCTGGATGCTACAAATGTTATGGGCCTGGGAATAGGATCTCGTCACGGGTCGGTCCACGGGGAAAACCCTCTGTTTTCCCTTGTTCCTCCCTTCTCTTGATGGACCTATCTAGGCGCCCTAATGGTGATTTGTCCAAGAGATCACCTAACTCTCCTTTACTCTCTTTCTTGACTGAATATTCGATATCCTCATTCAATAATGGTGTCTCCTTAAATAGGAGATTACAAGAGTCATAATCTTAGGGAGTCTCCTTACTGAATAGGGAGACTTCCAATTCTATCTTGCTAAGGATAAGATAAGCTAATCCTAATCTGATAATAAGATAAACTAATCCTAATCTGATAAYAAGATAAACTAATCMTAATCTRATAACAAGATAAACTAATCCTAATATGATAACTTACTAACAAGATAAGATAAGAGCAATAGAATAAGATAAGAACAAGCAAGATGATCTAATCTAATCTGGCGGTGGGTCAGGTTCCTGTTGTTGCTAGCGGCGATGGTACGTCTTTCTGAGGAATGCATCCATAACAATATAAAATAAGTATAGTCCATATTAAATAGGAAAAACAAAATGTTACTTAGAATGCCATGCCAAGCAACTGTAAAAGCATTTACATGTCTATACTTAGAACCAAAATAGAGTTAATTGATGACAAAAATTATTTTGAAGTCTATTGTGTTTTCCTCTTGGGTGTACTTTTGAGCCCATATCTTCTTTTGTGTGTCTTGCTTTGAGAATAAACTGAATGTGAAGTAGCAAAATCAACAACATGATTACAAACTTTTTTGCCCTTCTATCTTGCATGTATCGAATTATTCGGTGTAGGCTCAATCATTAATTAAGAATATAAAGGTCCAAAATACTAAATAAGCTACTAATTAAAGTGACATAAAAATTTAAGAATCTAAGTAGTGGAACCCTGAAATTAAATCAGATTTCAAGAAAGGTGGAACCCCAATGCTTTTCTTGGCATATAGTAGGACTGAAAATAGTCCTCTCTAGTGCAATGTGGTTTGGGTATAGTAGGACTGAAAGTAGTCCTCTCTAGTCTAAACTTTTTAAACTGAAGCAACACTAATGTATGCAAGTTCTTCAATATCTAAAGTTGTACTCTTCACTATTCCTTTTGGATTAGGATCGCTCTCTCCATACCCAGCTCTATCAAAAGACAACACATAAATTCCTAGTTCTTCAACAACTTCCTGGAACAAAAACACCATGAAATTAATATAATGTGACTTAAGGATCATGAAACCCAAAAGAATTAGCAATGTGGGAAAAGAAAGGAACAGAATAACGAAAGAATACAAACCAGAGATATGGGTATAACATGAGTTTTATTCCAGACACTGTAACAGGTGGGCCATCTAGCGAGCCATAGATCTTCGGAAGTGGTGGTTGGATAGCTTGAAGCTTGAACTTCTTGTTGGAAGAAATCGGAAGTTTAAAATTAGATTAACATGAAGCAACGACTTCTATCCCTCCCTAACTTGGTGATTTCACATCAAAAGAATCCGATTAGCATGAAAACAAAACACTAAAATTAGCATCAAAATCGAAATGGGTTTCTTTTCCAAAAAATCTGACAGGTCTGGTAAATTCAAACAACAAATTGAAATATCCAGAAATTAATAAAATTTTTGAAAAAATGAAAGTGAACCCACGAATCAAATAGATGCTCAGTGATAGAAAGTAAGAGATTGATCTGAGAAAACAAGAATTCAATTTGACGCATTAGCTGTCAAGACCCTCCCTCATCTACTCTAGCATGAAAGATAGTAGTGAACATAAGGATAACAACAAAGGGGACAAACTTACATTTTCTAATATTGCCTTGAAGATGGAGTTAATGCTACCCAGCCGTGGATCTCGAAATGAGTGACTCTGAATTGGTGGAGGTTTACCAATCTCTCAAAATTGATTGGAAATGATGGATGATATAGATGAAACGATGCCAAGAACTGAGACAAGGCACTATTATGGAATCATGCAAGTGAGGCATCCACACTCGGTAAGTTAGATACGAGAGATGGAGAATAAAACCCCAAATCACTTGAACCTAGAGAAGGATGTTTGAGTTGTATAGGAAGTTTATTGGGCGTGGTTTACTGGTTTTTAAAAAAGGGATAAGTTGAATGCGCTCCACCTCAGAATTCTGAATTCAAATGAAGACCTACAACAATTCAAAATTATAAATACCTCCACCTATAATACCTATATCCACCCATGAATTGGCATCAATTTCGAACTGACACCTACTCCAACTGTAGGGTGGATCTAAGATTTATGGGGTTGGATTGAACAGTAAAAACCCCTAAAAAAGGTATTTTTATCTTAAAAAATTGATGTTTATTTTTAAAACATAACCAAATCTGCTAATCGACCAAACCTTTTTTTTTTTTTTTTGCAAGAAAGCCCATACGAACAAGGGATGAATGGGCCAACCTCCACCTAACACTAGCATAGCTGATTTACGATAATCCTGAAACAAAGAGCATTGTCAATAACTCCGGCCACTTAGCCACTTCATCCAACCTTGCTGAAAACCCCATAAAGGCCCCGGTACCGATGAAACCCAAACCACGTAGCCCCCATTCTCCAGATAAACGGTACCCATTTCTTGGCCTCATGGATACTCCATAGGAAACCTTCCAAAACTTCTCCAACCTTGGCGAAGCTTCCTCATCAATATTGAAATATTGCCCACCATAGCCATACAATGCCCCCATTGGATTAGAAGACAATTCATTTGTTGGAGTCCCCAATTTCTGCATGCAACATCAAATTCTTACTATAAATGTAGGGTTTTCTCCCTTCTGGTCAGCTCCTTATTAGAGCTGAAGTTTAGAAAACCACTAGGCACTGAATTTCCTTCTGAGGTAGACTTATAACAATGGACAGATAGCATAGCTAAATAGGCATCTCTTGGTTGGAAATGTAATAGACTAATAATGTTCACTCGGTTCTTCATTCATGATGCTTTTTGCTGTTAATGAATTATTTTTTTGTTTCTGTTCTTCTATTATAAAGCATTTGAGGACAGATAATATGGGTATTTGTAATCCAGACAACCCAGATTTGATTTTCAAGACTACATTATTTTTTTATGACTCCCCAACTTTCTTTGACCAAAAGAATTTTCTAATTTTGTATCCAGTTCAGAATTTTTGCAAATTTATTTGGTGAACTTAAAAAGATCTCCCTCATGCAAGATATTGGCAAGTTGAAACATGGAATCATTGACCAACGATCTTGGTCGAAGAAAATTGTTCAAGCATGAAATCATTGATCAACGAGTTATTTTAAAAATTTAAAGAATAAAAGAGGGTAAAATTGACTGCAAAAGGGTAATATTGGGTTTTAAAAATATTTTATACATTACACACTCACATGGCGTGACATGTAAATGGATTGTGACGAAAGATTAGCGGATATTAACGACAAGGGAGGACTTAACCAATTGTCAGAAAACTAAAAGATATAAACAATAAAGGTGGAATTAATCAATTTTCTAAAACTTAGGAGTTGGGAGTATTTTAAAAATTCCCCAAGATAAAACTAAAGAAGGGTTTTAGTATTTGCTAGAAACCAGAAAGGAGGTACAAAAGGATTTTGTCAAATTTTAAAATTTAATTAGAAGGGAAGTATCAACGCCAATAAATGCAAGCCAACGCATGGTGATCTGAAATGACACCAAAACTGGGGCATTCTACCCATGAGGCTATAAGCCTATATCACACCAGTCAGCCAGTCAGGTAGAAGCCATTCTGCTGGAAAGACATGATACCGAAGGGCTTTGACCAATCAAAGGTCTTTGCCCACTATGCCACTGTTTTTTTGAGCCAGATAAATACCACCTAAGTGGTTATCATTTTTATGATGTAGGTCATGGAGGGGCATGATGAAACATGTATAATTATAGACCTCACGTGCACCCTAGAACTTGTAAATAACCCAAGAAGAAGGTTGAACTACGATGCTGGAAAGATATGATAGAACAAAAAGTATCATGCCCTTCCAGCATATCAGAGAATTTTCCAGAAGAAGCAAATGAAGTGGCATTTATCCAAGGGGAAAAACATGGTATCAGAAAAGTTTTGACCAATCAAAACACCCATGAATTTTGATAAATAACACCTATTTGGCTACCATGAACGTGTATGATACTAGATGATCCGCCTGATCGATCAAAAAAATTTTCAGATATCATAGTCGAACCCTTATCCAAGATGGTTATCCCATTGGATGCGCCTTTTGTCAAGCCCTTGTTAGATGGATGCCAGATATTTCATCTGCTGATTTTAATAGATGCTGTGTTGCTTTCGGTGGAAGTTAAGGAGTTGGGTTTGTTCTGTTTTGTTTAGTTGTTTAGGTGGTTGTTCCTGAGTCGTGTTTAGTTGTCCTGGTGTTTGTGTTGCTTTGCCTTGTAATTCTGTTTCTTTGCTGTTAGTAATGAAATGGCTTTCTACTAAAAAGACAGAAGACTTGCAGTCATGTAATATTGGGGGCGATTGCCTGGTGTTATGGTACAAACTCAGAACAATGGGAAGCATGAAATTGTGGTTTCGACTCTTGAAAGCGGCCACTCATTAACAAAAAAAAAAACAAAAGCGGCCACTTGGAGAGCGAAAATAACATTGGCTAGGTCCGTAACCCTGGATAGATGTTCCCGGATGTAACAGCATCTGTAGATTTGACATGTTCTTTGTCTAGGCCTTCTATAATCTTGGATGAAGTAGATTTTTCACGTAAAAAGGCCAGCTGATCAACAAAGAGTAGGTCCTTCATGAGCTGCAATTGCTTCCATTCTTTCTCCATTTGCAATTCCACTTCCTCAAAATGCACTATCTTATCTTGAATCTCCTTCATCTGCAAAAACCAGTGACGGCATTAATAGAACATTCCAATTTCAGGACTAAGAAGTGGACAGAAAAAACACACACCTGGACTTCTACAATGCCCGAGATGGATCTCTTGATATCCTGTTCTTCCTTATCAAGCAAGGCCTGCGCTTCTAGAATGACTCCTGTTGCATCTGTAATGGTGTCACATTTTGCAGCATTGGATACCGTTTCTGAAAGAGAAATGACAATTTTAATGAAATTGGTCGAGTCTGATAAGTAAAGATAGAGTAGTTGCAGGTGGGACTCAAGACTTCAGATCCTAAGACCATCTAAACTTGTGCAAGAGTGTGATGTGTGGGAACACGCACCTGGCCCGAGCTCGCCCAAGTAACTCCTAACTAGGGGTGTAAGTTGGGTACCTGATTTAAAGATTTTACGTTGCATCGGGCCTAAGAGTCTATTGAAATTTTTACCATGGTTTTCAAAACTGGACCAGACCAAATGATCAGACCAGAAAACCTGGGGACAGGTCAGGCAACTGGTTCTGTTTCACCCTAAAACCACTTTTTGGCCAAAAACTGCTGATTTGGCCAGCGATCCACTGACCCGGGCGGTCAAACCATTGACCCAGACAATGGTTTTTGGCCTTTTTTATTTATTTTTATTTTTTAAAGTCAGAATGGGCCATCCATTCAAACCGAACGGTCGGCCATTCAACCTGGGAACTGGTCCCCAGAACGGTTCCCCGTCCAGTCCGGTTTTAAAAACCTTGATTTTTACAATACTCCAACCAAGCCTGCCCAAGTTGTATCCCTACTCCAAATTCTAGTCGGGTTTGAACAAAAGAAACTAAAGTTGTTGGTATAAAAAAATGCATATGTATAGAAATTCTATTGCACTCCTAGGACACCCTTACCAAAATGGTTAAACCAAAGCTGATGTGTCTTTGAATTCCAATGATCAAAATGGGAAACAAGAATTTTATTATACCTTGCTGTTTGGACTCATCAGAAAGAGATAACACACTTTGCTTAGCCCCGGTTTGAAAATTGTTAGGATATTCCTCTGAAAGAGCTGCCACAGCTGCTTGAGCTGCAGCTTCTGCAACCTCTGAACCCACCATAGCAGACAAAAATGCAGCCTGAGAGAATATCAATCATTTTTCATTAAAACTTCCACATAATTCGTTTACACTCTTTAAGAGAGTTAAGAAGATAATACAAGCCTGCACTTAGGCCTTTCCTAATTACACTGAGTTTGTTTTTCTCATTGAGTGAGAAATTATATTAACATGACAAAAATAATGTATAGGTAAGAGTGATAAAAGTACAATATGTAATATTCCAAGTCCTAAATCAATTAGGGTTTGTCTCAAGTCAATGACATAATCTTCAGCCAATTACGATTTTTTATACCTAGAAAAAAATATATTAAGTTTTGATTCCTAATAGTTCCTGTAGGTTCTGATTCCTAAAGAAGCCTAGGTCTTAATTCCTAGGTATTTTCTCTCTTTTCCATATTATGCAAACCCATCCTGCATCAAGGCCAATTATCAGTTATAGTAACAAAACACTCGTAAGGGTGGTCTGGTTGCAGACTTGCAGGCACATATAAACAAAACATGATTCAACTAATCCTCTCATTTTAGAGATCTTGCACAAACATGACCAAAGAGTCTTACGCGTGGCAAAACAGATTGGAGTTCAAAAAGAGTTGAGTTCCATTATCCACTCTCAATTCATGGAAAAGAATTTGATCCCAAACACTCCACATGTAAAACAAACCCACTTTTATAGGTAAGGCTTCCAGTTTGTAAGCTTTGCATTAAAAATTTAAACTTTGAAAAACTACTATTGGTTGTAAATATCATCAACATCAGATGGGACACGTGATGATATCAAGTGTGGGATTGAAAATGTGACCAATCTAGTAGGTCCCCTATCTGATGGACAGTCTGTATTTACCACAAGATCCTTCTACCAGCCAGAAATAGGTAGGTTCATGTAGGGAAAATCCCTACTTAAGCCAATATGTTTGTATGTTTGCATTAAACTAGTTTAATCCCTCTACCATGCATTACATGGAGAGGCCAGAAAGATATGGGAAGGAACCATAAGAGCTCACCTACGTGTGACCAGACTTGGGAGATGCTGAAGTGTGCAATTTTGACAAAACTAAAATAAACGAATAAACAAATTGAATCATGCTCAGTAGAAAACAAAAGTAAACAAATAAACAAATAAAAAAATAGATCACTGAAATGTGCAACTGTAACCAGGCATGGGAGATTGTCCTCAGGTCTAACCATGAGGAGTGCCTAAAATCAAAACTAATATAAATTTTTTTGATAGGTTCAAGATTAATCTAATGTTTCATAAAATTTTGATTATAAGGTGGTCAAGAAAGAAAATACAAAGTTTTCTTTTTTCATCCCTTTGTAAAATGCAAGTTCATATCATATTAACCTCATGGCCAAAACCATACCTGAGCCATAATCGGGTTGCTTGCATCAGCAAGTGGTGTTAGACACCTTTTCTTTGTTGGGAGTGATGCAACAATATTCTCTGATCCACTTTCTGCACCACTCTGATCCTTCATTTCAAAATGCTTGTCAGCCTCTGCAACATCAGGATGCCCAATAAATTCCTCCCCAAATGGAAGCTTGACAAAACGAGCAACACATTCTTTCTCACTTCTTCCACCAACATGTTCTGCAACCCTTTTCCAGTCATCACCATAATGCATAAGGGCTTCTAGAAGGCGTAGAGTATCTTTGTCCGTCCACTCTGTTTTAGTTTCTTCACTAATCTCAACTCGCCTGAAGTCTGAAGAACTCACACCAACTTGATAGTTACCACGAACATAGCATCTTGCACATAGAGTCAAATCAAACTGTCCAACAAAGAGATTGATCACAAAAAAAAAAAAAAATTGGCTAATCTTGCCCCCTCGTTAAAAATAATTACTTGAGAAAGAAAAGTTGCCCCCTCATTGCATTGCACAAAATGCTTGCAGGATCACAAGTAAAGCTCTAAGAAGGCAGCTAGCCTCACCTGCAAGACTAATTTTGTTGAGTGTGCTTCACCTAGCCTGTTGCTGTATTTTGTTGGTTTAACCTTAACCTTAATCTCATGTTGAATACATAATTTACTATACTGTGAGTCTTGAAGTACAAGGCTGCAGCTTTTGTGTTAATAGCATGCCACTTTTAACCAATTGAGCTAATACATTTTCTGAAATATATTGTTTCTTTCAGAATTTAGATTAGAATATTCTTGCAATTTAAGTTTCTATTTTGTTTTTCTTAAGTGGCCATTGCTTGGTGTAATGGTAAACTTTTAGACTGACAAGCATGAGAACATGGGTTCAAGTCTGAGAGTAACTACTTTGTGCCAGAGGTTAGATCTGCATCCAGTTCACCCCTCCCAAGACCGCAGATAGCTGGGACGTATATTGGGTAATGGCCTTAATTTATTCATCTATTTAGTTTCAAAAGTGGTTTCTCATTTTGCTCAAATCCAAACCTGATCTTGTGCCTTAGACCTCAGGCTCTAGGCTATAGAAATCCCTTGTGCCTTAGTTATTTTTCTTGTTTTCATAACACTACTGCCCCTTGCCTGAACTTTAGTAGCAGTCCATTACCCCAGTACATACCACCAATAACTTGGTAGCCAGTGGAAATAAATGGACGAATGATCATTGAATAAGAGAACTAATAACTGGTCTTTATACAGTATACATATAATGGCAAGTGCATTGTATTAACCAAACCAATATTTTTCTTATAACCATTACTTGTGACAACATCTGTAAAGGTGCAAAAGAGGATGTAAGTGTGTGCGAGTGTGCATATGGCCATGCATGCCACATTAGAGCTACAAAGTAAATGAGTCAAGCAGAGTTAGCTGCTGAAAACAAATAAAATAAAATAAGAGGAGGAAAAGGAAAACCTTGTCACAAGCAAAGCAGGCAATGCTACAAACCGACTTGCAACCGCTGCACAGTTTCTTCGAACTCTCCCTCTTTGACAATGACGATTGAAATGGACTCCCAGCAGAATCACTATTGGATGAGAACAAACCGCCAGACTTACTATCCCTCTCTTCCCACTTAACATGAGGCTTCAATGTTGTCCCAGTATAATTAATCAAACCCCAACCTTCCAAAAAATCAAAAACCCTACGAATTGAACCCACGTCTCCGACCAGCGACTTCCGAGCCTCCGTAAACATGATCTTCCTCAAAGGGTTTTCTCTTGATTTTCTGATAATTGAATCCCGATAATACTTATAAACCCTTGGATTCTTTGAAGGTGACTTGGCATCGAAAAATTCAGGGAGGAAACGACGCTCGCATTCATGGATCCTGTCCCATGAAAACCACCCTATTTCAAGTGAAGAAAAAAAAGTAAGTTACTCAAATTGGATACCCTCGAATCCTGAATAAGAGATTACAAATACAATCACCGTTGATGGGCAATTAGGGTTCTGTAGAAGATGAACAAAGGAAGTAATTCAAACTAAAAAACCATAGAGTTCTGAACTAGAAAAGCAAAAAATAAGTGACAAAGACCGTAGAAAAGTTACAACAATTGCGAGCCTAAGAGTGTCGAATCAATCAGAAAGGGGAAACCCCAGTAAACTATTAACAAAGAAATAGATTCTAAGAAGATGCACGCAAAATTAGGGTTTATAAGCGACTAAAACAAATAAAAAATCTATCAAATGCAAGTTACGTTTTACATAACACAGGCGTTCTTACTGGAATAGCTAGGAACAACAACGACGACGTCGGTGGCAGGAGGAGATGGTTCCGTTAGGCGGGAAGTGGCGGGAGTTGAAGATTCTGCCGGAATCTCCGACTTCACGGAGGAGACGGCCGCAGTCGCTGGATTCTCCGGCGAGGGACCGAGACGTGCCTCGACCGGTGAGGGGGACGCCATGGCTAAAGATACTGGAAGCGTCAAAGAAATGAACCGGCCAGCCGGTGAAGGCAGTGGAATATACTTTTGCTATATCTTTACCCCTTTACTTACACGTGCCATGCACGTGATTTTACATTATAAATAAATAAATTTCTTAAATGCTTGGGCTAAATTTCTAAAACCTCTCCTTTACATTCTTACAATTGAGTTTAATATTCTATTCTATGCTAATAACACTGGCCTCCCCCTGAGATTTCTGGCATTGTTGCATCTACACCCCCCATAGAATAGAATATTCCCCCTGTTATTAGCATAGAATAGAATGTGATGGAGAGGAAGAAGAAGAAGCTTGCCATTCTCTCTCAGGTTAGATCACTAATTCGAACTCGAGTTGCCGAATGAGGAGAAAGTGTGAGAGAGAGAATGTGAAAAGAAATCTAATACACCTAGTCTGGTTGGTCTGCAATATAAAGAGAAGAATGAAAAAGTGTGAGAGAGAGAAGGAGACGAAGAAAAAGAATAGGAGAGGAGGGAGAGCAAAATCGACGGTGACTTACCTTGTCGTTGAAGCTTTAGCCCAGATCCGTTCTTCTTTTAGCTGCAAGGAGAGATGAAAGATGAGTAAGAGGGGTAGAAAAGTTGGAATCACGCAGTGAAAAGGGTTTAGAGCCTTAATGTAATTTTATTTTGTTATTTGAAGAAACTAGAATGGGATTCTGATTCCTGGGGGCTAGGTCGGGAATGTCAATTCCTTCGAATGGGGGATTGCCATTCCGCTTAGAATGGGAATCAGATTCCGATTCCACCCAAACAAATGGCTGGAATTGGAATGGACCATTTTGATTTCGATTCCAGATCCCTATTCTTTCGAACCAACAAAATTTCCAAAATTTGTGCAACTTTTATAATTTCCATAAAATTTGTGTTTTCTCTACAATTTATGTATAGTTTGTTAAATTATGTACATTTTTTAATTTCTTATGAATCTTATGTATTTTCTTCATTTTTTACTATTTTCTATTGAAATATATATATATATATTTGATTTTTTTTTGTAATTTTTCCTTTTTTATATTATATTGGTGGAAATATATTTTTGAAAATCACATGTTTACATTTAAGGGCAATCTTATTTTTTTTTGTGATAATAGAGGGGGTGTAGATGAAACAATGTCAAAAAGTTTAGGGGAGGACAGTGCTATTAGAATAAAGTAGGGTATTGAGCCTCCCATAACTATCAGAAACTACAAGGGAGGTTTCACCAATTTACCCTTTCTCCTAAATATTGAAACCTCCTTTCTCTTTTCAATAATGGACTAAGAACTCCCTTGTCAAGTGATGTCATGAGACAAATACTTATTTTTCAATTAGTTAAAAATAAGGCCCGAATAGATAAAAATGAAGAAAGGAAACTTAACAAAATAAAACTAATAAAGAAGAATATAAAAGAATCAATAACTAGTACCCAACTAGAAGTGAGGTCGTTGCAATTTTTCCTCTGTCCGAATCAATACCGAACTAATGACTTTGTAGCTTACCAACAGGTATAAATAGAGTTCGTCTTTGGGCTCAGGCCTTGTTAACAATGGAAACAAGCTAAGATACTCACTCCTTTAGGTCATCGAATGCTTATTAGCACTCCTCGGTCCATTGGAGGTCCTTTGCCATTTTAATAGCTTGGAAAAGGGGAGGCATCTTCCCGCCGACTTGGACATGAAGCAGTTGAGTGCCACAACTCGACTGTGAGTTTTTGAACCTCTTTGACGGACGTCAAGGGTTGCATGTCCAAGATAGCTTTGATCTTCTCCAGATTAACTTCTATACCACATCAAGTTACCATGTACCCGAGGAATTTTCCCAACATGACACTGAAAACACACTTGTTTGGGTTGAGTTTCAATTGATATTTTCTTAACACCCCAAACACTACAGTCAAGTTGTCTATGCATGAGTTTAATGGTCCTACTTTTAGCTACCATATCATTAATATAGACTTCAACATTTTTTTCTAATTAAATTATGAAAAATTTTGTTTACAAGGTGTTGGTAGGTCGCCCCGACATTCTTAAGGCTGAAAGGAATAAATCGGTAACAATACAAGCCAGTCTTAGTTATAAAAGAAGTTTTTTCCTGATCATTATGGTGCATTAGGATCTGGTTATAGCCTAAGAAGATGTCCATGAAGCTCAGTAGCTCGAATCCCAAGGTTGCGTCTACTAGCTGATCTATTTGTAGGAGCGGGAAACTATCCTTTAAATAGGCTTTGTTCAAGTCAGTGAAGTCGATGCAAATGCACCACTTCCCATTCTCCTTCTTGACGAGTACCACGTTGGCATTCCAATCTAGGTATTTCTTATTTGAACTTGTCGTTCAGGAGCTTCCTGACCTTTTCGTCAATTGCCCTCCACTTATATGGGGTGAAGTTTCTCCATTTTTTTGTTTTATAGGTCTAAACTTTGAGTCCACATTAAGCTTATGAGTTATGACCAATGGGTCGATCCCTGGCATATCAACGGTAGGCCATGCAAAAACATTAGAATTTAAACAAAGGAAACTTACCAATTCGGCTCGAAGGGGGTCTTGAAGGAGTGATTCAATCTGCACCTTCTTCTCTAGGTCGGTCTCAGAAAGAGACACCGAGACCACCTACTCCACGGGTTGTCCTCGATTGTTGCCGATCTCATTGGGCAAGTCCAAGTTAATAGATAGGGATTACTTTCCCTTCCCCTTTAATGCCACCACGTAGCATTTCCTTGACTTGAGTTCATCACCCCGAATGACATTGATTCCTCTCTCAATTGGAACTTCACGGCGAGGTGGTAGGTCGACACAACTGCTCAGAGGGCGTGTAAACATGGGCGGCCCAAAATAACATTGTTATGTGATGGTGTTTTCACGAGAAGAAATCGTGTAATGATAGTAACCCTATTCAGCACGGTCCCTGTTGTTACCGACAATCTAATCTTCCCAATTAGGTGAACGATGTTGCCATTGAAACTGTTTAGTGGTACATTAGTTGGGATGAGTTGCTTCCTGTTGAGTTTCATCTATTCAAAAGCCACAAAGAACAAAAATGTCAGAAGAAGTCCCACTATCAATTAGAATCCGTCTTACCTCGTAGTTTGTCATGAGGTAGGCGGACATGCTTTAGATCTTCAATGGACAAGGTCGTCTCGACCTGCTTTGGCCACTTCGGAGGTTGGGTGTCAAGATAGGTCTGTAGTTCTCAGACTGATGCTCTTTGGGCAATGTGGCTGCACCTGGCCACTACCAATCCTCTCATGATAACTACAATTACTCTAGTAGGGCCTTCCTTCTCAATCTCCTTGTCACAGTCTTTGGGTTGTTCGGTAAGTCAATTGTCTTTGACAAGCTACTTAAGGTAGTCGTGCTGGATAAGCTCCTCAATCTTGTTCTTCAATTCTTTATAGTACTCGATGCCATGGTCGACAGTGTGGTGGAAATTGCAATGTCGGTCATGATTTCTCTTTGTCTGATTGTTTCTCATGCATGGGGGCCACTTCAAATAATCAAAGTGATTGGTCTGCATGAGCATCTCACCTCGCTTGGCATTGAGAGGAGTGTAGGTACGGTACCTTAAGGGTGAATTTTGAGATCATTTGGACAAGCTCCCTTCATTCCGGCTCCACTTGCTACTGCTTCCACTTCGGTCCTTGTCCTGATCCTTTCTTTTCTTCCTTTCTCCTTAATCTCTTCACGCTTGAACGACCTCTTTAGCATTCATGTACTTCTCAGCTCGATTGAGGAACTCGATCATGTCTTGAGGCGATTTCTTCACTAAGGAGAATGCGAAGCACAAATCCTTAACTCTGTGGGAGGGCACTACTACTGCTATCATCGAATCAAGGTCGCAGACCTCAAGGGCCTCATAGTTGAATCTATGTATGTACTCCTGAAGGGTCTCCTCAGACCGCTGTTGGATGTGCATCAAGCTCTTCATGGTCTTCTAGTACCTACAACTTGTTTGTGAAGTGGGCCACAAACATGTTGGAGAGTTGGTCCCAACTATTTATGGAACAAGGCGAAAGCCTCGAGTACCATAGTCGAGTTGCTTTTTGTACAATGGTTGGGAAAGCCATGCACATGCTTGCTTCTAAGGCCCTATGTACTAACATGAGAGCTTGAAAACTCTCCACATGGTCCAGTGGGTAGGAGGTCCCATCATAGGTTTCTAGGGTCGATGTCTTGAAGTCATTGGGGTGTGGCTCTAAGAGTATCTCAAGTGAGAGGGGAGATGCTCTAGTTACTTTATGAACACCAAAGGTGTTAGATTGGTTGGCTTCCTGGTCCCTTGATGGGCTGCCACACTGGTCACTTCTAGGTCTAAGTCGGCTTTTCATGGGAGCTCGTCGATGATGCCTTCTATACCTGTCTCGCCTTGAGGTCACCATGGAGTGCGAGTGATCCATCCTGGAGGAAGAGTTTGCCCTCCTCTATTCCTCGGGAACATAAGTGTTGTCCCGCTACTCCGACGTACAGGTTTTAGTGAGGCTTCCATTGTTATTTTGAGGCATTGTGGGAGCTAGAGGAATCACTAGAGGAACGGGTAGTTGAACATTCGGTATTTGCATTGGAAGTTGTCTTCCTGCCAATGTGACAGGCTGCTCTTGAGGTGGTTGTTTGTTGTTGCTTCTCACTCCTCCCGAGCCCAGAGGCAAATGTTTGTGCTCCGGACCAACTACACAAGGTCCTCGATCTACTCCTTAGTCACCCCCTATGGTGGAGCAAAGGGCCCGACATTTTGAGGATGTCCCCCGGAGGAGGATCCTCCATTGGAATGATGAGTGTCCTTGCTTTTCGAAGATGACATGATGATGAAAGCAAGAGGGAACAATCTTTGTGTTCAGGAAGTTTACACAGCAGACGCCAATTTATGGAGATCAAAAGTCATGATCCTTGTTGGCTATGATCGATGATCTGGGCTCAAGTGCAAACTTTGGTGGCACATCTACAAAAAACAATGTTAGAGGGCCTAGGTGGATTTCCTGGGCAAGGAACTCTGATGCTTAAGTTAGTGAATGCCAAGCTCTAGCTCTCCGAGGTGGTAGAA